CTTACTTTTAAAAACAGATAAATTGCGCCACAGCTCTCATAACCCAAACTTTTTGCAGAGTTCAGCAGCTATCAGAAGCGTCTGGATGTGATTCCTTATCTCCAAACCTTATTGCAGAGTCTCAGCAGTAGACCAGAGCATCTGGATAAGATCTCTTAATCCAAAAAACCCATGCAGAGTCTCAACAGCTAACAGAAGCGTCTGGATAAGATAACACTACATGCCAAACCTTTTGCAGAATCTCAGCAGCTAGCAGAAGCGTCTGGGTCAGATTTTCCAATTTCCAAAATGGCCGATTTGCCACTTCCGGTTCCTCTGTTGCATCTGACGTCACTTCCTTGACATGTTTCGTCGCAGGACTTAATCATAAGGATGTGTACGTCAGATAGGGCAGTTCCTTTTGTACCTCTCCTCTCATTGGAGCCAGGCGGCTCCTAACACAACGCCGCCATCTTACACCAGGGAAAGATGCCAACACTCTCTCTCTACAACAGCAAGAGAGTGTACACTAATCTTTTATTACTCAAATAAATAATGCAGCCAGCCCTACCAAATCATTATTACTAATCCAAGACGTCATAATGAGCCAGAGAACAGATATTGCACAAAGCCCTATACACAATTACTAATATTAATACTATTATATACAATTACTCCTAATAATCACTCTTTAATAGATTCATTAAAATAACCAATTAAATTCATATATTAAAGTGCTAATTAACCCATTAAATACTAAAACAATCTTATAATGTGATCTCCAGTCACATATAAATACTCCAATGGTTCTATAAACTTCCAACTGCATACCCGATAAATAATGAATAAATAAACCACTATATCGCTTATCCATAAAAATCTATCTACTTCTATAATAAATGAATAAATACCAAATAATTGCTCTATTAAAAAATAATGTACAATATAAATAATAAATCAGACACCTATCACTATATAAAAATTAATCCATAAAAATTATAAAATAAATTAAAAATTATATATAACCTTATTATAATATATAAATATATGTTAATTAGTAATAAAATAATAATATTATAAATAGAATAAAATTAAAATAAAACCTACAAAGCCATACTCCTATCTTTAATAATTAGAAATAAAACAATTAAGATCTAAATCTACATTTAATCCTTTAGGCCTAAGAGTCTGTAACTGGAATATCCAGAGGGTTTCGTTTTGGGAAATAACTTTAATTTTATCTCCTCCCCTCCAATGGGCTTCAATTCTATCAAATAGCACATAAATCTTAAAACACTAAGATCACAACTTTGAAAATATCTAAAATGTCTTGAAAGACAATGATCTTTCTTCCTTTTTTTTTATATTTTTCATGTGTTCTCTCAATCTTTTGTGTAGGGGTCTGGATGTCCTCCCCATGTATTGGAGACGGCACGGACATTCCAACAAAATATGTCACAAAAGGACGTGGAGCATGTAATAAATTTCTTAATTTTAAAAACATTCCCTGTACTCTGTGATAAAAACTCAGAAATTACTCTCTTTATTAACATTGGTGATTTTACATATTGTTGTGGGCTTTTGAAATTATGTTTCAAAAACATGATTTTATCAAGACATAATCCTATATAACATCAAGTCAGCATAGCCGGACGTTAAGGGTTAATTTGTCTTGGTTGAGAAGTCGAATGACCATCCAGCTAGAGAAATGTAAACGATGGGTGAAGGGATTTTTTGTTCCTCCTAGAGACAATATACTATTCGAATTTCTACAGGTGGTCAAACACCATTATTTAGACTTCGATGGCAGGTAAACATATACAAGGTCTGGACATGACAATAGAGGAACCAAATTGATTGTCTGAGAGCTCACACGGAACTTTGCAAAGTGTAATGAAACAACAAACCTGTCGAACTATCACAATATACTATTGTCCACCAAGGTTGAAAGTATTAATGGTTATTTACTCTGACTCCAACACAAAAGCAAGGCAAACAGAGAGTCTTTTACTACCTATGGGAATGTTTAATTCTGAAACAGAAGTTAAATTCAGGACATTTTAAAGCTAAAAAATTGAATGTATATAACCACAAAGATATTACTACAAAAGCATAGTATCTAGAGATGATTTATAAAGAATAGGTTTCACACACCACCAAATATTCAGCAATGGGAATTATATATCACTAACTTGAGTATTGAGATGATGAAAAGTAAGATATATTGTAAGTTAGCCTCAGCTGTATGTCTTATCAGGAAACAGACAAAATGGTATTTCAAGAAGGAATAACTGAATATACATATATATTCCATGGTCCCTATTTAGAATATTATAGGTATGATCACTTATATATCTGGAAAAAGACGTATATTTAATTCCTGAAATTACCTTAAATTCCACCCGAGGTATGAGTCATCTCAAATACTCAAATTGTTCTATGGTACAAGACTGCCATCTGGCGGGCAGGTGAGAAATAGCTTATGTACACACATTTCTCAACTAGCCAATCAAGAAGCCTGGTGGGAAGGTATCTTAGAACAATGGATTAGTTGGTATAAAAGCCCTTGTACCTTAAAGAAAGACAGCTCATCAAAAAGAAGAAACCTCATGAAAAGAAAAACTGACTGACTGAAGAAAGACCTCATTGGAAGAAAATCGGAAGACATCTGAAGAGACCTCTCTATAACCCCTCTTCCATCCTTTCAAACTTCCAAACTTTACTAAATTGCTAAACCTCTATACTCCTAACTTCCTACATTCTCCCATACTAAACATCTATCACTTGCCCTATAATATCATTTCTAAAGGCGTTCCATTGCCAGCTGATCCACGGGAGAGTTTCATAGTCTGAATTCCGGGTGTGGTGAGACTATTCATTTACTTTTGCATTGTCTATTTTTCTCTGTTGTGTAGAGTCATAGAATTACCTTAGTGTATTACAACTATATTGGGTAGTTATATATATGTAGAGAGATCCTGTTTTACTGTTAAAATTGTTTGGTGCCATATTATAATTTCTTCATATTTCATAATTTATTAAATATTAATAATTAGAGTACATTTTATCAGAGAATATCTTCTTTCAATCCTATGGCCACGGTTTGTGAGAATATAACCTTTGAGATACTCGAAATTATTAATTATTAATAAATTTAATTAATAATCAGATCATCTAGAAATTGTTATATTGATTTCATTAGTTTGATACCTTATTATTGTGTATTACATTGGTAGGGTATATCTTTGATTGTGTGTATCAATATTCATTTATCACCAGTCTTTTGCGTTTTGTGTTAATATACTGTATATAAATTTTGTACATAAATACATTATTATATTTATCTATTATAAGGCAAAGTTTGTGTGTATGGTACGAAATCATACTGGCTAAAAGAATTCAAGGTATAATAATAAGTGGTGATCAAATTATCAAGGTGTCCAAATTATTGGTTTACTAAATATTTGCCGTATTTTAACGGCTGGAAGCACTGTAATATTTCATCTAAGGGAAAGCGACACGCCCCTTATAAGTAGAATATATCCGTACATAAACCACCACAATATAGTACATTTTTTACATGGAAAGAATCCTTTAAAAGCAAACATATGCAGTTTTCTCTGTTTTGGGGGAGAAATAATACTTTTAACCAATATATCTCTCAGATTATTTGTTTTTCTATAAATAAATGAAGGCTTCTCTGGTATAACAGAACCCAAAATTATTCCTGATAATTGGCCAATATTTACGAAAAATATCCTCTACTTCTTTGTACTGGACAATTGAAACCCGAGATAAAGGAATATTCCACCTTGTAATTTTTATCTTTATTCTTCTTTAGTGAGGTATAATTTTCTTATCCCCTATGTAGTTCTGACTGATTTTGAATCTAATCTTTTCTAATGCTTCAGAATTATAACCTTTTTGCAGGAATCTCTCTTTTATAATTTGGGTCTGTTCTATATACTCTTTAGGTCTAGAGCAATTCCTCATAATTCTTATAAATTGGCTTTTCAGAATTCTATTAATCCAAGATGGATGGTGGCAACTGTTAGTGGGTATATACCTGTCAGGAATGGACTTGCCAATAATGGTGGGACTCACCTGCCTTGTGGGCTGCAGTACCAGGGCTGGCCAGCGGGTGCTCTCAGCAATCAGAGACTCAACCCTGCAGTCAGCCAAAACACCTGAGGCTGATTGCAGGTGTATTTAAGGGATGGCCAGACCTGCAGTCTGGGCCTTGGTGTGTGGTTTTCCATGGGCCCCTGTATCTTGTTACCTGCATTCCTGTTCCTGTTCCTGCCTGACATTACACCAAGGCCAATCCTGACCAGAAGTGGCTGCACAGGGAAGCCATCTTGGCTTGTTGCTGGGAAGGATGGATCTTGATGAGGTTGTGTATTTGTCGCTGCTGGTTTTTGATGACAGAGAATATGCTTATCAGACTCTGAGGGAGTATACCCGGGATCAACTGCTAGAATGTATACGGATCGCTCATGTTCTAGTAGATCAGGGCACAGAGTTCTCTGAGGTGCAACCTTTGATTCAGGTTTGTGTAGAGTTGGCTTCATCTGGTACCCCTGAAAAGCAGGAATGACTTTTTGCCACCATTTAGTGCAGACCAGGTAGAGTCCCTGGTATGGTTATTAGGGGATGATGTGGATTGCTTCTTGGAGCATTATGCTGCATGTTCACCACAGGTATTAAGGGATTGTATAAACGCAGTGCAGTCATTGACCAGACAGGCTTTGTGTAAGCTGAGCTTTGTTCAACCCATACTGCAGACATGGTCAGACTTGTTGCACCCAGCCTCAGTCAGCTTACAACGTCATTCCTCTGCTCAAGGCACTCTTCCTACATCCCTGACAGCACCCCCAGTGACGGCCCTGTATACTCTGCTAACTACCACATACCAGTCCTCTGCTCCCACTCGCTGCACCTATTTTTTCTTTAACCCTGTAAAGAAGTCCTCTGTAGCAACTGCTCCCTCCTCTGTTCCATCTTCCAGCTCTTCTCTGTCCTCAGCTGCTCCATTCGTTTGCAGACCTGCGTTTACTTGCAGTGCTCCAGTAGTTAAAACCAGAAAAAAGCAAAAATTCTTTCTAACCAGTACCATCCTGCCAGTATCCAAACCGGTGAGCCTGCCGTCTGAGAACCTGCCTTCCATGGTTCAGCCTGGTGCCTCGGCGCCCACAATTCAGCCTGATGTCTTTACCCAGCCTGATGCCTCTACCCAGCCTGATGAACTGATCCAGCCTGATGATCCTATTATGCCAGGTGACTCGGTGCCCGCTGTTTTGTCAGGTGACTCGGAGCCCACTGTCTTGCCAGGTGCCCGCAGTCGAGCAAGACGATCCAATGCCTGATGACCCAGTGCCCGCTGTCATGCCTGGTGACCCGATGCCCGCTGTCGAGCCAGACGATCCAACGCCAGATGACCCGGTGCCCGCTGTCGATCCAGACGATCCGGTACCTGATGACCCGGTGCCCGCTGTCATGCCTGGTGACCCGATGCCCGCTGTCAAGCCAGACGATCCAATGCCTGATGACCCAGTGCCCGCTGTCATGCCTGGTGACCCGATGCCCGCTGTCGAGGCAGACGATCCAATGCCTGATGACCCGGTGCCTGCTGTCGAGCCAGACGATCCGGTACCTGATGACTTGGTACCTGCTGTCATACCTGGTGACCCGATGCCCGCTGTCGAGCCAGACGATCCAATGCCTGATGACCCAGTGCCCGCTGTCATGCCTGGTGACCCGATGCCTGCTGTCAAGCCAGACGATCCGGTACCTGATGATCCGGTGCCCACTGTCGTGCCAATTGACTCAGAGCCCACTGTCGTGCCTGGTGACTCGGTGCCCACTGCCTTGCCAGTGACGCGGTGCCCGCTGTCGAGCCAAATGACCTGATGCCTGGTGACCTGATGCCCGCTGTCGAGCCAGACGATCCAATGCCTGATGACCCAGTGCCCGCTGTCATGCCTAGTGACCCGATGCCCGCTGTCGAGCCAGATGATCCAACGCCAGATGATCCGGTGCCCGCTGTCGATCCAGACGATCCGGTACCTGATGACCCGGTGCCCACTGTCATACCTGGTGATCCGATGCCCGCTGTCGAGCCAGACGATCCAATGCCTGATGACCCGGTGCCCGCTGTCGATCCAGACGATCCGGTACCTGATGACCCAGTGCCTGCTGTCATGCCTGGTGACCCGATGCCCGCTGTCGAGCCAAATGACCTGATGCCTGGTGACCCGATGCCCGCTGTCGAGTCAGACGATCCGGTGTCTGACCCAGTGCCCACGGTCATGCCAGTTGACTCGGAGCCCACTGTCGTGCCTGGTGACTCGGTGCCCACTGCCTTGCCAGATGACGCGGTGCCCGTTGGCGAGCCAAATGACCTGATGCCTGGTGACCCAGTGCCCGCTGTCATACCTGGTGACCCGATGCCCGCTGTCGAGCCAGACAATCCAATGCCTGATGACCCAGTGCCCGCTGTCATGCCTGGTGACCCGATGCCCGTTGTCGAGCCAGATGATCCAATTCCTGATGACCCAGTGCCCGCTGTCATGCCTGGTGGCCCGATGCCCGCTGTCGAGCCAGACGATCTAGCGCCAGATGACCCGGTGCCTGCTGTCGAGCCAGACGATCCGGTACCTGATGACCCGGTGCCCGCTGTCGTGCCAATTGACTCAGAGCCCACTGCCGTGCCTGGTGACTCGGTGCCTACTGCCTTGCCAGATGACGCGGTGCCCGCTGTCGAGCCAAATGACCTGATGCCTGGTGACCCCGATGCCCGCTGTCGAGCCAGACGATCCAATGTCTGACCCAGTGCCCGCGGTCATGCCAGTTGACTCGGAACCCACTGTCGTGCCTGATGACCCGGTGCCCACCGCTCCGTCTGGGGGCCCGGTGCCCGCTGCCCCTCCTGGGGGTCCGGCGCCTGCCGCTCCGCCTGGGGGCCCGGAGCCTGCCGCCCCGCCTGGGGGCCCGGCGCCTGCCTGCCCCCCGCCTGGGGGCCCGGCGCCCGCCGCTCCGCCCGGGGGCCCGGTGCCGCCGCCCCGCCTGGGGCCACTGCTGCTGCCACCCCGCCTGGGGGCCCGGCGCCTGCCACCCCGCCTGGGGGCCCGGCGCCCGCCGCTCCGCCCGGGGGCCCGGTGCCGCCGCCCGCCTGGGGGCCCGGGCCCGGATTTCGCCCTCCGCCCGCCCGAGGGCCCACTGCTCCGCCTGGGGGCCCGGCACCCGCCACCCCCCGCCTGGGGGCCCTGTGCCCGCCGCTCCTCCTGGGGGCCCTGTGCCTGCCACCCCTCCTGGGGGCCCTGTGCCTCTGCCCGGCGTCCAGCCCGATGTGCCTCTGCCCGGCGTCCAGCCCGATGTGCCGCTGCCCGGCGTCCAGCCCGATGTGCCGCTGCCCGGAGTCCAGCCCGATGTGCCGCTGCCCGGAGTCCAGCCCGATGTGCCGCTGCCCGGAGTCCAGCCCGATGTGCCAGTCTTTGATATCCCGCCAGTTACCAGACCCGGGCGGTGGAACATTTTGCCCAGCTAGGACTGTTTCGAGCGTCCTGAGGCCCACTCCTTGAGGGGGGGGGGGTACTGTCAGGAATGGACTTGCCAATAATGGTGGGGACAGCCTTGTGGGCTGCAGTACCAGGGCTGGTGTCACGATATAAGGTCAGGTTCAGAGACCAGTTGCTACAGCAGTTGTAAGGCTTACCTGAAACCAGCAGGATTGGTACACCAGCGGCCCACCCTGGGAATGACGCAGGCTCACCTGAGGTGCGGGGTCTAAGCATCCACCGGTCTTCCCCAGAGCTCATAATGGTGGAGATGGATTTGGCTGCGTGTGAATGCCAGGTCGCAGATCTCAGGATCACGCCACCAGGGAATGAGTAGGCTGGAAACCAAAAGCGGATCAAACAGTTCAGGGATCAAACAGAAGCGGAGTCAGTCACAAGCCAGGGATCGGTCACCAATGGTAGTAGATAGGATGAGGCAGAATCGTAGTCAGTAGCAAGCCAAAGGTCGGTAACGTAGATGAAGACAGCAGCAGGAATAGTAAGCAGGATATTGGCTGGTAAGGCACAATAATCTGGCAACCAGGAAGTGCAGAGACATGGCTTTTATAGGAAGTTCATGGGAGGAGCAAGGAGTTCAAGGTTCAAGACAAAACAGGGCAAAGGCAGGATCATCCATAGAATTGTCAAGGGAGCTGTCCAGCATTCCAGGTGGCTCAGTGAGAAGAAACACTCTCTCTCACCGCAGAAGGCCCAGGTTCGATTCCAGGCTCTGACAGCTGGCCAGCGGGTGCTCTCAGCAATCAGAGACTCAACCCTGCAGTCAGCCAAAACACCTGAGGCTGATTGCAGGTGTATTTAAGGGATGGCCAGACCTGCAGTCTGGGCCTTGGGTGTGTGTTTTTCCATGGGCCCCTGTATCTTGCATACCTGTTCCTGTTCCTGTCTGACTGATTTGTTGCCGACCCTGCCTGATCCGGACCTCTGCTGACTTCTCCTGTTTGATCCCTGGCTTGTGACCCCGACCATTCTCTGCGTGACCCCCTGTACCTACCTGCCCGTTAGTTGCTGTACCCGGCTCGTGACCTGACTACTCTCTGCTTGCTCCTCCTGTTCCTACCTGCCCGATTGTTATTGACCCGGCCTGCCTGACTACGCTTGCATTGTATGTATTGTTATCTGTGGGTGGTTTGGTTTGGTTCGTTTGCACTGTGTTATGTTTTCGTATTGCACTGCGTTTATGTATTGTTAGTATTAATAAATTATATTGTTTATAACATATCTGAAGCCTGCGTTTCCCTGCGTCAGTTCACATACCTCTGGTCATACCCGGAGCCCTGACAATACCCATTCCTATCGGTTTCCTTAAAATATGTTTTAGTGTATAGGACATCCTTTTCTATAAAAATATTTAGATCCAGAGAATTCACCGATATTTTATCTATGTATAAGACGACTGGGCGTATAAGACGACCCCCCTACTTTTCCTGTTAATTATTATACTCGCCGTATAAGACTACCCCCCTCTTCCAACCAATGCAATGTACCAGTATTTTCTGTGCAACTGTATTACAAAGCCTGCTTGGATTGGGTGGGTCAGCTCTCCCTGCCTGCCCAGCCCTGCCTGTCCAAGATACCATATATTGCACAGAACTGCCACAGACATTATAATATTAATAATTAATTACCGTATCTCATAGAAGTTAAGGGGACAAGGTCGGAGCAGCAGTACCATACCGGTACTTCCGAGCTGACGCTTCTGCACATGTCTTCGGCAGCATAGACGATCACTGATCGCCTCCTCGCAGAATGCATGAGACGTAAAAAGCCGTTCAGTGCTCGATTGATCCTGAAACTGTGACATGCGCAGAATCACTGTGTATCCCTTTTGCATATCAAGTTTTTCAATCGAGCACTGCTGCATCCGACGTCTCATGCAGTTCTGCGAGCTATGGTGATCCGCGATCGTCTACTGCTGCCGAAGACATGCGCAGTAGCGTCAACCCGGGAAGTACGGTAAGGTTTAAAGCACCCGGCGTATAAGACGACCCCGACTTTGTAGACGATTTCCAGGGGTTAAAATGTCGTCTTATACGCCGGAAAATACGGTATGTTAAAAGTGAATCCATATTCATTATTAGTTATGGCCTGTAAAAAAATATTCAAAGAATCCACCGAGCCCTCCCAAATATGCAGAATATCATCGATATATCTTCTCCATGAGACGAGCCCTTTCCAATTTTTTCCAAAGATTTCCTTCTCCTCCCATCTAGATAAAAATAGGTTAGCCAAACTGGGTGCCAAATTTTGCGCACATATCTACCTCTTTCTTCTGCACATAAAAATCACCATTGTACCAAAAATTATTATTTTCCATATAAAATTCCAACAATTGTATAATAAATTTCTTCTGTTTTATGTGAAGGTCTGTGAACTTTTTTTAGCACCCATTTGATAGCTCTTATACCGTCATCATGTTTGATACTAGTGTAAAGAGAGTTTACATCTATTGTGACTAAGATCGTGTCTTTTGAAACTTTCATATTTTGGATAAGATCTATTACTTCCTGCCTATCTTTAAGATAAGAGGGCATCTTCTTAACTATTGGTTGCAGGAAGAAGTCTATATACTCCCCTGTTCTGGAGTGTAATCCACCAATGCCGTTAATTATAGGTCTCCCCGAGGGATTTACTAGACTTTTATGGATTTTGGGTAGGTAATAAATGATGGGCATTTTACAATGGGATGGAACCAGATATTTTGCTTCTCTTCCATTCAATATACCATCTTTTTCCGCAGATTTAACTAAATTCTGAAGAAATGTTTTATATTTATAGATAGGATTACTATTAATCTTACAATATGTCTCGGTATCGTTCAAGATTGAGCCCATAACCTCTTCATAAGCTGGTCTAATATCAGCACTCCCCCTCCCTTATCCGCCGGACTAATTACGATGCTCTTTTTCTTCTTTAAGGAATCTAAACCAACATGAAAGGATTCCTCCTCTTTAAATTTTTTTATTTGAATATCCCTCAAATCCTCTATCATCATCTGTTTGAAAACTTCTATATTTTTATTGGTATTATTAGTCGGATTAAATG